GTCTTCCCCCCGCCGGTGAACGGCGTAGCGGGTGTCGTAGGGGCGGCTGGGGCAGCCGGCGAAGTAAAACCACCACCACCTGTACCTGTTAAAGAGGACAACAGCGGTGCACCCCAACAGCCTCCACCTAGTGGACCTCAGGTACCACCACCAGCGGGTGCCCCACATCCAACCGCCCCTGGTGCCCCGACCGCGGCCAGCTTCAGTCCACCCCCGCCTCCAAATGGCGTGGATCAACAGGCTATCGTAAGTTACACTTAAATATTTATTTTTTCTTGTCGATCCGAATGTATTTTCGGACTGGCGTTTACTGTCGGTGAGAGGGTTGGCTAGGAGAAATGTGGAGGATCTCGGTCTCCACAATTTTATAGTATATTTATATCAGTTTGAAATTTAACTGAGTAGGAGTGACAACTGCAGTGTGCAGATAGGACTAGTTTGAAGACTAGTTTGAAGACTAAAACTCTCACACAGTTTGAAGACCTCAGTTTGAACATTTGTATCGTATATTTATTTCAGCGTGAATATTCACTGAATAATAATAACTGCAGTATGCAATTAGCACTAACTTGAAGACTAGTGTGAAGACTAGTCTGAAGACTATACTCTCACTCAGCTTGAAGACGTTTTTTGGATTAATTGATGTGTGATCCTTCTTGCTAATTCTACCACTACACTTTTGAAATCGAATTTAGCTTTTTCTGATCAATTGTTACTGTCAACCTATACCATTTGTCCATCGAATTCATCTCAGCCAACTCTCATCTAGCTGACAGTATTCCCCATACAAAAATTGATTAAACGAAAGAAACGAAAATATCTATTGAAACAGTTTTTGTCCTGAGATTGGTCGGTGAAATACACGTCATGTTATCGGACTTCAAATTTAATTTATCGTACACATATCGATCTCTTGCTCGTGCAGTTATTAGACCAAAAAAGATATACGTGTACACCGAACTTTCTGTACGAGCGAACGAGATCAAACCTTTTGCTTCCTTTCGCAAGCAAGCAGTTTGAATTTGTTTGAACACGCGATAACTCGTCGCGTCGCGGTAATTAGCGCGAGTCATAAAGGCGGCCTAATTAGCCGCGCTAATTAAAGTAATTTCATTCGTTGATTCGATTTACTAGACGGGTCTAGATACTCGATGCGAAAGACCCTTGTTACTTGCCGTCACCGTCGTTAGCTCGCGTAACTTGTCAACTTTTAATTAAAGGATTTCGAATGTCTGACGGTCAGAGAATGTCTGGTGGCTTTTAGGGGTTTGAGTTTTGAGATCTGAGAGACTTGAGAAGTTAACTTTGGATATTTTGGGTCTTTGAAATTTTCGGACTTGAAAGACTTGCAGCTTGAGATTTTAGAACTTTTGAATTTTCAAGGGTTTGGAGTTTTGGAGACTCAGGAAACCTACGCGTTGAGTTCCAGCGCGTTGAAATTCTACGCGTTGAGTTCCAATGCGTTGAAATCCTACGCGTTGAAATCCTACGCGTCGAGTTCCTGCGCGCTGAAATCCTACGCGTTGAGTTCCAGCGCGTTGAAATTCTACGCGTTGAGTTCCAATGCGTTGAAATCCTACGCGTTGAAATCCTACGCGTCGAGTTCCTGCGCGCTGAAATCCTACGCGTTGAGTTACAGCGCGTTGAAATTCTACGCGTTGAGTTCCAGTGCGTTGAAATCCTACGCGTCGAGTTCCAGCGCGCCGAAACCCTACGCGCCTTGAGAAGTTAACTTTGGATATTTTGGGTCTTTGAAATTTTCGGACTTGAAAGACTTGCAGCTTGAGATTTTAGAACTTTTGAATTTTCAAGGGTTTGGAGTTTTGGAGACTCAGGAAACCTACGCGTTGAGTTCCAGCGCGTTGAAATTCTACGCGTCGAGTTCCAGCGCGTTGAAATCCTACGCGTCGAGTTCCAGCGTGTTGGAATCCTACGTGTCGAGTTCCAGCGCATTGAGATCCTATGCGTCGAGTTCCAGCGCGTTGAAATCCTACGCGTTGAGTTCGAGTGCGTTGAAATCCTACGCGTTGAGTTCCAGCGCGCTAAAACCCTACGCGTCGAGTTCCAGCGCGCCGAAAGCTTACGCGTTGAGTTCCAACGCGCTGAAACCCTACGCGCTGAATTCCAGCGTGCCGAAACCCTACGCGTTGAGTTCCAGCGTGCCGAAATCCTACGCGTTGAGTTCCAACGCGCCGAAACCCTACGCGCTGAGTTCCAGCGCGTCAAAATTACAGAATTCCCAATTATACAACTACTAGTCATTCAAACCCACAAATTGAACCTTGTGTCCAAACCTTCAAACCCAGAAAACGTAACAAATATTTAAAACTTGATCTCCAAGCCCCAAAAGCCCCCACCCTAAGCTATAAAAAGTATCCCCAAAAATGTCACAACCCAGGAGCGTCATAAATTACACGTGAAGCCCCATTCCAAGCTGACTGCAGTCACCCGTATCATACAATACTATCAGTAATCGCAAATCGGTCGTGGCAACAAAGTCGTAGCCCAGTTTACCGGACGATTGTATCTAATTAACCCTGCTAAGAGAGACTATGCGAAGCATTTCAGCCACGGTTGAACCGAGCGTGAAGAGTTCCGAACAATGTCGTGGTTCCGAACGAGGTGGTTGCTTTGTTCGCCGGCCGTTTGGTCAATTATGCGGCTCTGGTTAGTCAACGGCTCGTAAACCTACGTTCACGGTTCGTTCTAGTCGGTTTTCATTCGTACCTCGAATTTATGCAGATTTCCTCTCGGCGCGATAAAACGAATGAATTTGTTTCATTAATTCGCTACAATGTGTCTCATTACGCGTCAATTATTTCATCGGAATTATTTTAAAAGAGATCCAGTCGATAAATCAGGTTCGAACAAGGCGAACCCGTAGAAACGCGTGTATAGAAGTGAATTGGAAGTCAAGCCGTCGATGGTTCTCTCCGGCGTTTCAATTGAATTACTTGGTGCAGAAATGCAAATTAAAAGTTCCCTTTCATCGTGACTGTGCTCTATGAAGCCGTCGCTGAAAGGGTGACTCTAGCGATCGTCGCGTCGTTCTTTGACGACGAAAAGCCTTCAGACAATCCAGTTTCATCGAGCCACTCGAGCGCGTTCCGCTAGCGAACTTTCCCGTCTCGAAAATTTCCATTTGCGGCTCGGTTCTTTGCTGACCAGCGCTCGTTAACCAATACAAAGTCCTGTCTCGAGGGTGGTTCGAGTGTTTTGCGGATTTCGAGCTTAAACGTGGATTCTACGCTCAACGTGCTCTCGGAGCTTTCCACTCTGGAACCGCGGAACTTTCGTAACTTTTCGAACTGTGGCCAACTATTCCGATTTTCGAATGAGCTTTCGATACGCATAGAACTTTTTAGGCGTTTTTGAATACTTGGGTATAACGCGACAGGGTGCGGTTGGATGAAGTATGGCGAATAAATATGTAGCTGAGGATATAGTGTGCTGTGTTGGAGAATACAGTGCGTTAGAATGATACGAGTTGAATTATACTGCTGTGAAGGCATTGCGATGTATTGCAACGCGTTGATATAACATGGGTGGAGTTAGAGTGCGTTAGAATTTCACGTGCTGTAGTTAGACTGCGTCAGAATTCCACGCGCTGTAGTTAGAGTGCGTCAGAATTCCACGCGTTGAGTTCCAGCGCGTCAGAATTCCACGCGTTGAGTTCCAGCGCGTCAGAATTCCACGCGTTGAGTTCCAGCGCGTCAGAATTCCACGCGTTGAGTTCCAGCGCGTCAGAATTCCACGCGTTGAGTTCCAGCGCGTCAGAATTCCACGCGTTGAGTTCCAGCGCGTCAGAATTCCACGCGTTGAGTTCCAGCGCGTCAGAATTCCACGCGTTGAGTTCCAGCGCGTCAGAATTCCACGCGTTGAGTTCCAGCGCGTCAGAATTCCACGCGTTGAGTTCCAGCGCGTCAGAATTCCACGCGTTGAGTTCCAGCGCGTCAGAATTCCACGCGTTGAGTTCCAGCGCGTCAGAATTCCACGCGTTGAGTTCCAGCGCGTCAGAATTCCACGCGTTGAGTTCCAGCGCGTCAGAATTCCACGCGTTGAGTTCCAGCGCGTCAGAATTCCACGCGTTGAGTTCCAGCGCGTCAGAATTCCACGCGTTGAGTTCCAGCGCGTCAGAATTCCACGCGTTGAGTTCCAGCGCGTCAGAATTCCACGCGTTGAGTTCCAGCGCGTCAGAATTCCACGCGTTGAGTTCCAGCGCGTCAGAATTCCACGCGTTGAGTTCCAGCGCGTCAGAATTCCACGCGTTGAGTTCCAGCGCGTCAGAATTCCATGCGTTGAGTTCCCAGTGCGTCAGTATTCCATGCGTTGAGTTCCCAGTGCGTCAGAATTCCATGCGTTGAGTTCCAGCGCGCCGAAATTCCACGCGTTGAGTTCCAACGTGTTGAAATCCTACGCGTTGAGTTCCAGTGCGCTGAAATTCCACGCGTTGAGTTCCAGCGCATCAGAATCCCATGCCGTTGAGTTCCAGTGCGCTGAAATTCCACGCGTTGAGTTCCAGCGCATCAGAATCCCATGCGTTGAGTTCCAGCGCGTCAGAATTCCATGCGTTGAGTTCCCAGTGCGTCAGTATTCCATGCGTTGAGTTCCCAGTGCGTCAGAATTCCATGCGTTGAGTTCCCAGTGCGCCGAAATTCCACGCGGTGAGTTCCAACCTGTTGGAATCCTACGCGTTGAGTTCCAACGCGTTGAAATCCTATGCGTTGAGTTCCCATCGCGTCGAAATTCTACGCGTTGAGTTCCAGCACGCTGCAATTGCACGCGTTGAGTTCCTACGTGTTGAATTCCAGCGCGCCGAAATACCACCCGTCATATTATATCATATCTAAACATACCACCCCTAATTGCAACAATCTTGCGCCCCAGTGCACGCACTACAACTTCTCAAAATTGAATCCACCAAATTACAACGCGTCAATTTACTCCGCCCCAAATCGCCTCGAATTACAATCTGACTAAGAACGAATTGTACAAATTAATAACACCATTCCTTTATCCCCAACTTCTCTGTAATAATAAAAAGTTTTTGATTGGTACCGCGAATAGTAAAATGATGGATAAAGTAAAGGTTCTGCAAATCCTCTGGAACCGATGTCTTCTTGCGACCAGTCGTTTAAACGAATTGAAGAGGAAACAAATGATCCGCAGTTTAGGGCTACGATAAATTCCTGCCAGGATAGGGAGAAATTCCTATCGTTCATGTCGAGAGACGAGGTTCTTGGAAATGGAAGAGAATCTGCAAACATTTCTCTAGGGTTAATAGCTCTGGATCTCTGAATTTCTTGCAGTTTGTAGAAAAAGATGTGGGTAGATCCATCTTACTTGCTGCGGAGCTACGTTTATGCTCGAATAATAAGAACTTGCTAATTCCCGTGAATCATTTTTCATGGAGATAAAACAGTTCGGGTATTCGTTACTGCAATTTACGTAAAATTTAAGTGTGGAACTGTTCTTCACTCGGATGATGATGTAGAAAATTCTACCGTCATCTTTTATTACTTTATGCAGTTGTATCAGATTTTCTCTCTACGAACTTTTATAAAAATATTATACTTGATAACGTAATGAAGCATGAATAATAATGTAGTAGTAAATAACAGAATCGTTAAAATATGCACATTTGCAGTTTTATAATGGTACAATATCACGCAGAAGCAATTATTATTTACAGAATAAATTCACTTGTTGAAACAATTATTTACGGAATAAATTCACGTGTTGCGCAGTTTTTAAAAATATTTCATACTCGAAAACAGATTTAAATTTTGCACGATCATTAGTTAAATCCTCGTCGCGAGTTGTAACAGCGGGGAATAAATATTCAAGAATTCTTGAAAACGCCAACATTGATCCTGTCGACGAGATTTCCGGAAACAATAGATTTTCTGACGGGAAACGTTTTTTCGCGTATAAATTCGACCACGGTTCGAGTGTCGTTCGTCGGATCGGAATAATTTCTTCTAATTGGAACGAGTGTTCGACGATCGTGAAATTGTCCCGCGTGGGCACAAGTAGAAAGAATAAAAAAGAACGTCAGAACGGCGCAATTTCGTTCGATTAAACGCGATCGACCTCGTTTGCGCATATTTCGATCGACAGCGAAATTTCGTGTACAACCTTTCTTCTCCTCCGCGTTCCTCGATGCCGAATTTTTTTCAGTTACCCGAAATTCGAACTTTTATTGCGTCTTTTGCACAGGTTGCGTTCGTAAATTGTTTTTCCACGACGAAATACTCGTTTGTTAGAAACTAACAGGTTTAGTTTAAAAGCTTTTTCAGGTGAATTAATTAAAATTTCATTTTTAAATCAAACACTTTTTCTGTCTCCAGAAATCATTTTATAATGTGAAATTTTTAAAACAAGTCATTATAACCATTTTAAAAATACTGCTCTTTAAATTTAAAAAGTAAAAACAATAACATCGTTGTCAAACAAAAATTGAATAACAACTTCATTTTTAACAAGCATTAAATATCGACGTCGTCTTAAACAAAAATTAAAAAACAACTTCGTCTTTAACAAAAATTAAATAGCATCTTAAATAAAAATTAAATAACATCCTCGTCTTAAATAAAAATTAAATGACACCCTCATCTTTACCGAAATTTAAATACCATCTTCAGATAAAAATTAAATGACAACCTCATCTTAAATGAAAATTAAATAACACCCTCATCTTTAACAAAAATTAAATACCATATTCAAATAAAAATTAAATGACATCCTCATCTTAAATGAAAATTAAATAACACCCTCATTTTTAACAAAAATTAAATACCATCTTCAAATAAAAATTAAATGACATCCTCATCTTAACTGAAAATTAAATAACACCCTCACTTTTAACAAAAATTAAATACCATCTTCAAATAAAAATTAAATAACATCCTCGTCTTAAATAAAAATTAAATAACACCCTCATTTTTAACAAAAATTAAATACCATCTTAAATAAAAATTAAATAACACCCTCGTCTTAAATAAAAATTAAATGACACCCTCGTCTTAAATAAAAATTAAATGACACCCTCGTCCTCAACAAAAATTAAATAATCCCCTCATCTTGAACAAAAATTAAACAACCCCTTCCTCTACAACAAAAATTAAATATCACCCTAAAAAAAATAAACAACATCGCCTTCATTGAAAATTAAATAACACCCTCGTCTTCAACAAAAATTAAATAACCCCTCGTCTTCAACAAAATTAAACAACCCCCGCTTCAACAAAAATTAAATAACCTCCTCTTTAACTAAAATTAACCACCTAAATAAAAATTAGATAACATCGCCTTAAATAAAAATTAAATAACCTCTTCAAAAAAAATGAAAGTGCCTCTAATAAAAAGTTTTTAAAAAAAGAAGCACGTCTCCGTGAAAAAGTGTTGGTAAAAGAGTTAAAAGCATGTCTATCCTAGGCAAAGTAAGAAAGAGAGCCACATGAAGTTTGCGTCGCGTTCTCGCCCCTTTTGTCACGGAAGCTCGGGGAAAAAGTTTTAATCTCCCGCCAAACAAGCTTCGTAGAATGTGTTTTGTCTGGAAGCGTATCGACGTCGTTCTTCAAGCCCTAATCTCGGCTGGTATCACCCGGGAGGACAGCGACGATGCTCGATGAATAATTCGTGAGTCTCTCACGACGAGCTTTCGTGGACCAGGATCTATCCTGAGCTTTTCCTATAGGCCAGACACCATCTAAATTTCATCGCCTCTACCGCACCTTTGAACACAGAAATTCATTCGGGTTTCGATGAATCGTTGTGTCTACCGCCTCTTTGAATATGGAAATTCGCTGGGGATTTCGCTGAATTGTTGCGTTTTCAAATGAGCCTGGCTTTAGGGGACTGCTGGGAATTCGGTGTTAGGGAAGTCAGAAGTTTTTAAGGTTCAAGGTTCTGGAGTGGTTTTATGATTTTTTAGTTTTTTAGTTTTGGAGGTTTATTGTGGAATAGTAGGCCCAAGTTCCAAAATTCCAAATTCCCAAGATTGCAAATTTCTAAGATTGCAAATTCCCAAGATTGCAAATTCCCAAGATTCCGAATTCCCAAGATTCCGAATTCCCAAGATTGCAAATTCCCAAGACTCCGAATTCCCAAAATTCCAAATTCCCAAGATTCCAAATTCCCAATATCCCAAATTCCCAAGATCCCAAATTCCCAAGATCCCAAATTCCCAAAGTTCCGAATTCCCAAGGTTCCGAATTCCCAAGGTTCCGAATTCCCAAGATTCCGAATTCCCAAGATTGCAAATTCCCAAGATTCCAAATTTCCAAGGTTCCAAATTCCCAAGATTCCAAATTCTCAAACCCCCGAAACTCCAAACCCCCGAAACTCCAAACCCCCAAAACTCCAAACCCCCGAAACTCCAAACCCCCAAAACTCCACCCCCTCTACACACCTCAAAATTTCCCCCAAGCCCTACTCAGCTTTCCCAAAAAGCCATCATCACATCTCCCCGACACCGGCGCTCAATTCTCGCATTCGTGGCCATATCTATTCCATTAGACTCGAAAGTAGTCTGGTCGCGAAGTAAATTTGGAGGGTGTAACGTTAACGAGGCTCAGCCGCGTTAAGACCCCGTAGCTTTCCGAATTAATCGCGTGGAATACCGCGTCCCGTGGCTGGAGAGTTCAAATATTCTCGTCCCGTTAAGTGTTTATTAATAGCGCACAAAGCTTCTGTCGGCTTCGTGGCTGAAATTGCTTTAGTTCCGGTAGATGACCAGCTTTGCCGTCTGGCCGTGAAACGGGCCTGATAAAGTTCAGTGGAAGGTGCTGCCTTCTGTGGATAGTAGTAAAGCTAGAAATTTCAGCTGGCTGCGTCTGACTGTGCGTCGTGTATGTTCACTTTGTCTCGTTAGTGGTAGAAGCCAGATGTAGTCAGACTGCGGCCGACCACTTACTGTCTCTACTACTTACGATCTTACGTTGTCTCTTCCCTCATCGACTAATCAAATTATCATTAATTAATGTTAATAAATAATAGTTCGTTTTTAAGCTAGATTGGTACAAATTTCATTAAACCAGTAACGGATTGTAAAAAATAAACAGTGGGATATTTACAAAATTCAGATGGGAACATATGGAGAGACAATATACAATGTATGAATGTCAACTGGGTTATTTATTGAAAGTCATATTTATGTTCATTCAAACTGACGCTGTTCGCAGGTGTTGCTGAGTTAAGTACCTTGAATTTATCGCTGAACAAATTTTTAGTATAAAGTGACATACATCCAAATAATTCTTTCAGTCTTAACATAAACATGAAGGTACTGAAAGTAACATTTTCTGATTCTGTCGAAACTGACTCCTTCACCGACCAATCTCATATCAATTTCAATTTGAAACTCAACCTTCTGCACTCAAAAGGTGACCTTCTAGTCAATACAAAAATTTCAAATAAATATTTTCTAACTGCTTAACCTACACCAAACTTATATTATTATACATGTGATGAATAAACCTTCTGCACTTGAGAAGTGATCTGTTCAATACAAAAGTTTCAAATAAATTATTTCAACTGCTTAACCTACCCCAAACCTATAGTATCACACATCTGATGAATGAACACAGTGAAACAAGCAACACTCGAATAATTTCAAATTTCACCCCTTTCAACTAAAAGTACTGAAAGTTGCGATCAGTGATGAAAGTCCCTTAGAGTGCAAGAGGTAACTATAGCATAAATGTCAGTGTCTAATCGTGGAGATAGTCGGAGGTGTTTCAGGCAGCAGTAGCAGCTGCAGCGGCTGCAGCTGCAGGTGGCGGTGGTCAGCAACCGGCTCCAACGCAAGCCGGAAACGAGAGCAACCCCGAAGGTGCCGTCGAAGGCAACGCTTTGGTACCTGTCACATCCGGTGCCACCACACCAGCGACCGCGACACAGGGCACCGACCTGAAAGGTCAACCAAAGCGCCTTCACGTCAGCAATATACCTTTCCGTTTCCGAGACCCTGATCTCAGGGCAATGTTTGGGGTAAGTAACTCTTAGTTCGCCTTCTCATTCGTTTGACGAGCACCAGATTACACTTGACTAGTAACTATTTGTCGCTTGATGATGTAGATTGTTGTTTGAATCAATTTGTGCTGGTAGTTTGGTACGAATTCGATGTCGCTGATAAATTGTTGCGGTTTGCACTCTACTGGGGTTGGTAAAAGAATGAATTTGAAATCTCGCTAGAATTTTTCAGGTAAACCGTCGTAAAATTTATGGACGTCGTAAAATTTAGTGTCGGGAAATTTTTATGGTACATAATGTTTCTTTATGGTTAAATAATTTAAAGTATCGTTGGGATTTTACCTGTTTTGGTGGTTTTAAGAGATGTACAAAAATGTTTAAATTCGAAGCTTGTAAGAATGTCAATTATACTTCAATGATGAACGTCGATGAATTTTTATGGTGCACAATGTTTCTGCTTTACGGTTAAATAATTTAAAGCATCGTCAAGATTGTACCTGTTTTGGTGGTTTTAAGAGATGTACAAAAATGTTGTTTAAATTCAAAGCTTGTAAGAATGTCAATTATTTTCGATGTCGCTGATAAATTGTTGCGGTTTGCACTCTACTGGGGTTGGTAAAAGAATGAATTTGAAATCTCGCTAGAATTTTTCAGGTAAACCGTCGTAAAATTTATGGACGTCGTAAAATTTAGTGTCGGGAAATTTTTATGGTACATAATGTTTCTTTATGGTTAAATAATTTAAAGCATCGTCAAGATTGTACCTGTTTTGGTGGTTTTAAGAGATGTACAGAAAAGTTGTTTAAGTCCAAAGCTTGTAAGAATGTCAGTTCAGTCAATGATGAACGTCGATGAATTTTTTTTATGGTACATAATGTTTCTGCTTTATGGTTAAATAATTTAAAGCATCGTCAAGATTGTACTTTTTTTGGTGGTTTTAAGAGATGTACAGAAAAGTTGTTTAAGTTCAAAGCTTGTTAGAGTGTCAATTATACGTCAAAGATGAACGGAGATAAATTGAGGAAATGGTAGAGAAAAAGTAGTAATGAGAGGAAATTATTCAAGTGCATTCTTTTTCCAACCCCCACGGCAAGTGAAATATTCTCGAGACAACGTTGCTTTCTGTATTCCAGCAATTCGGGCCAATCCTCGACGTGGAAATCATATTTAACGAAAGGGGAAGCAAGGTAAGCTGAAGTCGACCTTAGGCCGCGAGCCACCCCTGTCAACCCACCCCTAACTACGATACAGTTAGATTTAAGCCGCACCACAGAATCCTCGTCGCCAGGATCAAGCTTCGCGATTCCTATTCTCTTCGATTCCAACACGTAATCGCGACAACTTCCCTCATCCAAAAACAAGGTACGAACTTTTCGGCCATTAGTTCCTCGATAACTTTCGCAATTTTCACCCCCGTTCCGCCACTCAAACGATGCTCGCAATCATCGCGAAGATTTCGTAACTCGAACGTGACTCGATTTTTCTTCCCCGAACGCGTGACCGCGCAACTTATCAAAAAAGTTCAGACGTGTCCTGGCCACGAGGAGATCTCGAGGTCGTAATCATTCGCCGAACGGATGCAACGGGTGCCTTCTCTAACGATGAAATTCCATTTCGACCACGGAGGATGCGATGTTTATCCGAGGATGTACAAGGACGAGAAAACTGGGTCGTGACGTTGCATCCGCTCGGTACACCTTCTTTTGCAGCGCGATGCCAACGAAAGTCGCGTAGATTCGTACCGAGAGTATTGAAGTGCTGTGCCATTGTCGAAATTCATTCTTTCTTGTTGAACATTTTTGACTGGGTCTGTTATAGATATCAAAACATGCTAGATCGTGCGTTGGAAATCTCACTCTGTTAGGGTATATGGAGATTTTCATGTATGACTTTACTGTCACACAGTTAGGAGATGCGAGGAGGGTTCAATTTTCAAATCAGCAAATTACACATTTAGAAATTTAAATTCATGAACGTATGGATACATCTAGGAAGTCACTTTACAAATTCATATGCTCTCAAATTTCATAACTCACGAATTTCCAAACCTTGCAAATTTCCAAGCCTTCTGTATTTAGAAATTTACAAATTCATGAGGTTCTATTCCTCAGATTAAATATTCAGAGGGTTTCAAATGACTTGGACATTTTCAAATTTTACCTTTGACAAATTTCCAAATTTAAGTAGAGCAGTATATCTTGGAAGATACTTACACCAATGTGTTCTATGAGATATATTACATGATTGCAATAAAACTTGTGCAAATGCAACGCGTATTGAATTAGTCAATCTCCGACTTTCAATTTTGTGGACACAGATCTGGTCACAGTTAGCTAATTACTTCTACAACCTGAGGACCAGTGAGAATTAAAATGTTGGGTACATTCAGAGATTCTTGTTCAGAATTCAATTAAAAATATGAGTTAATATCCTCAGCCTCAAATTGTTTGGATATGTTACAGTTAGCTTATTGCTACAACCTGATGAATACTGAAAATTAAAATGTTAGGTATATTCGGAGGTTCTTCATCAAATTTCAATTGAAAATATGAATTAATACTCTCAACCTGAAATTGTTTGGAGACGTCACAGTTAGCTAATTCTTATAATCTGGGGACTACTAAAAATGAAAATATTAGATGCATCCAGAGATCCTTTATGAAAATTCAATTGAAAATATGAATTAACATCTTCAACCTCAAATTGTTTGTCCACGTCACACTTAGCTAATTCTTATAATCTGAGGATCACTAAAAATGAAAATATTAGATGCATCCAGAGATCCTTCATCAAAAATCAATTGAAAATATGAATTAACATCTTCAACCCCAAATTGTTTGGACAAGTCACAGTCAGCTAATTCTTCCAATCTGAGGATCATTGAAAATTAAAATGTTGGGTACATTCAGAGATCCTTCATCAAAATTCAATTAAAAATATGAATTAACATCTTCAACCTCAAATTGTTTGGACAAGTCACAGTCAGCTAATTATTACAACTTGAGGATTACTAAAAATGAAAATATTAGATGCATCCAGAGATCCTTTATTAAAAATCAATTGAAAATATGAATTATTATCCTCAACCTCAAATTGTTTGAACAAGTCACAGTTAGCTAATTCTTCCAACCTGAGGACCACTAAAAATGAAAATATTAGATGCATTCATAGATCCTTCATCAAAAATCAATTGAAAATGTGAATTAATATTTTCAACCCCAAATTGTTTGAACAAGTCACAGTCAGCTAATTCTTCCAATCTGAGGATCATTGAAAATTAAAATGTTGGCTACATTTAGAGATCCTTAATCAAAAGTCAAGTTAAATACGAGTTAAATAGAAAATATCACATAGGAACCGCAATATCGGAATCGCAATAGAACGCGCATTGAATTTCGCATCATGAAATGGAACGCATTGAGGTTTGAAGAATCTCGAAAACGTCTGGGCCAAATAATTGATAGATCACTCGTAGCCGGTAAATTAGTCGAGAAGGATTGAAGTTCGATCATCGTGGACTGGACAATGGACGAGCGTGCGTGACGTCGTCAGCAGACGATGCTATTGGGTTACTGGTACCAGGGAAGCTTGATGAAGTGCACTTGAGTGTGCTTGACGCAAAGACGCTGAATATGCAAGCTCACCGGATGCCGGCTGTCGGCACGATGTATTACTGCGGATCTTATCCAGACCGCTGTCATCCATATTGAAACCTATTTGCATTTCAAACTCCTCGTTCACCCCTCTCCACGCTATTTTTCTCGGGAGATCATTTTTACCACAATTAAAACTCTGGTGTTTACTGTTGTAATTCGAATTGGTGACAAAATTTTTTCAACAAGTTCTAAATCATTTATGATCAAACAATTTTACCTGGCAATAAAATATTAAATTCGATTCGATCATTCATGAATAAAAAATACGAGCTGGTAAAATAAACGGAATAGGAGATGCAAATGACGGAGAAATGTGAACACTATTTCCTCAATGAGGGAATATTTCCAACACAGAAAATGTAGATATTTTTCGTGGAGCTCAAAAATATTTTTCTGAAAGAAAATATTTTTCCTTGGAGATAAAATGAATAGAGAAGAATGTAACCGATCTCGATATCATTTTAAGAATATAAATCAAAGGGAAACAGAAATTATTGGCCCGTAATGAAGGAAAAAAGTCTCCAGCCGGAATATCGGAGTGTAAGTACCCTCTTTATCACCTGTCGGACGAAACTGTTGGCCGCAGAAAAATGTACGCACGAGAAATACTGTCTTGCAGAGCTGACTAAGGAGTGTCCATGCTCCACTTGCAGGAAAGCAATCTCAGCTGCTCGTCCATCACGGATTTCCAGCAGTATTTCGTTTCCTCGTTGCGACAATTCTCGAGGCGATCTCATCTCCGCTTCCAGTATACATTCTGCCATATAGACAGCTGCGGGCGCAGCTGGCCCTCGTTATATTGCTCGTTAACACTTTGTCCGGAAATTTTTACCAAACTGTTGCTGTTTTCTTCTTCAAAATCATTCACTTCGATATACTTTACGTACTTTGATATATTTTATATACTTTACATACTTTAATATATTTTATCAAAGTATGTAAACTTTTTCGATATACTTTATCTGTTAAGAGCACACAGTTCGTTTTTACAATTGAAGTATTAATAAATCATCCAAAATAGAAAGGCAAAATTTGCTGTACAATTTGATGAATTCAGTGCAGACTTTAACAATGTCTTCTGTATAACTTTCAATGGTATTTTTGTATAGATTTCGTATTTTGTTAATAATTTGAAAAATTCAGTACTGACAAATATAACAATATTTTCTATATGTATAACTTTATATCATATTTTCTATATAAATTTCGTATTTTGTTAATAATTTAACAAATTCATTACAGAAAAAATTTAACTTTCAATCATTTTTTTTGTACAAATTTCATACTTTGTTAATAGTGATATATTTTACAAAATTCATTGAAAATACTTCACAGTCATGTTTGAAATTTTTAACACAACTATTGTCATTGAAAGAAAAGTAATTTTTGAGAGATCGATGATTCTTCCTCTCAAGAATAAAATTACGACAGATTTCAGGAAGTTTGCGGTTGTTAACGTGCTATACGGTATAAGCCGGCGGCAGTGCTCGTAAAACTTTGAAAATATTTTCCATCTGAACGCGGCTTGCAGTAAACCTCAAACAGTGTTAACTCTTCCTATTTGTCAGGCTTAATTTTCGAACACCGTTTACATTTCTGCTTTGCCCGGACACGGTAACACGGGATAAGCTAATCAGTTTATCACGTTCTAACTCTAACTAAGGTTCCCTTCGTAATCAGTCGTAGAACATTTCGTTTCTGGCGGGAATTCAAACATTTGACTGAGTTGAAGTGTGATGGAAAGCTTGCTGTTGGCGATATAGTGAGGTGGTAAACGTAGTTGGTCAGATGAGGTGGTCAGATTCTTTCATATTTAGAAAGGTGGAGTTAGGAGGTTCAGTATAATGAATTTGTAAATTTAAGTACTTGGGAGTTGTTCAATTTGGAAATTTCTAAAGAGAGATTGTGAGTTTGGATATTTCTGAAGGTGATACTGTATGAATTTTTAAATTTCTAAATTTAAGAGTTTATGAATTTGGAAATTTGTGAAGGTGGTACTGTATGAATTTGCAAATTTTTAATATTGGAACAGTAGGAATTATTGAATTTCTAAATGTGAGTATGAGTTTGTAAATTCAGAAACTTGGGAATTGTTGAACTTGGAAATTTCTAAATTTGAGAGTTTATGAATTTGTAAATTTCTAAATGTGACACTGTATGAATTTGCAAATTTCTAATTTTGGAACCTAGGAAGCACTGAATTTCTAAATCTGATACTGCATGAATTTGCAAATTACTAAATCTGAATATTGATGAATTTGCAAATTCCTAAAATTGAAACCTTATGAATTCATAAATTTCTAAATCTGAAACCAAGTGAATTCATAAATTTCCAAAACTAAACCCACATGAATTCACAAAATTTCCAAAACTAAAACCCTATAAAAACCCTAAATCTCCAAACCTGAAATCTCACTAATTCAAAACCTCATAAATTTAATAATAAAAAAAATTAAAAAGTCACAGTACAAAAGATCACATCGCATTTTGTCAAGGGCGACCCCTAAACATGAACCAAACTAAAAAAACGA